GGGGCTGGGGGCAGCGGCGAGCATCAGTGAAAGGGATTTCCTCCTAATTCCTTCCCCCCTCCTCCCTCCCAACCCCACGCCAGCCCGTGTAACCCAGCCCTAGTCCTTAAAACACACTAACCTCGGCTTCTTTGGGAGACTCCTCTGTGTAAACTTTCCCTGCTGATAGCTCGCTTTATCTCGTGCGCTGTGATAGTGTGTCTCTGGGCTTTCGGTTTATTCCCCACTTCTGTGTTTGCAGACAAACCAAATAAAGTTACAGGCGACAGTTTTAGGCCACTCCGGATAGTTTGCTGACATGCATACTCTCAGCGATTTCTGTCTCGCAGGTATTCGTTTAAAAAAGGCACGATCACTAAAAGCAACAATATTAAAATGCCAAATAAATGCCTTTTAGATATTAGACGAATATACCTTTTTATCCTTCGTTTAGCAAGGTGGGCACGCGAGACCGCTTGCTATGGTTGCCTGCTTTATAATTAAAATACTTTTGTACTGTGCAGAAATTCTAATGTGCCTTTCCCCGTCCGTCCATCCATCCTTGCTGAAAGTTTTGTCGTACTCAAGAGTGTCCAATCTAAAATATCTGCAGACGATCTTGATGGTTGAAATCTGATGTAATTTTCTAATATGAAGTGGGAGGGGACGAGCCCATCTATTGAGCATGTTTTTTTCCGTCAGGAGCAGGGATTTATTGCACACAGCGCACACGAATAGCACGGTGTGTGTGTGTGTGTGTGCGTGTGTGTGTGTGTGTGTACTGCATCATATTATATACAGAATGCAGGTGAAAGCGAGCGTTTGCGGGTGTTAAAGTAACCTTCAGAAACTGCAGCCGCGAGTGGAGAGCTGGACTTAGGGCTTCCCTTTCAGAAGCAGAGGTACATTTCTCTCGACTTGGTTTAGGTGAACCAGCTCAGCGATCGCCTGTGACTGAAACACTTGCCCGGAATGAGAGAGGACGCACTTTCACCTCGCTCAGGCATTTTTTTCTCATTTGCAATGGTACCAGAAATGTATCAATTTTCATCCACTCATCTTCTGAAGGGATTTGTTGTTGTTGCTCGAGCAATATTTCCTCCCCAAAGTTTGGCGCTTTCTATTGCTCAGGGTCTGGTAGTTTCTCCCAGTAGCACGCGATTTCTTGAAGAGCGTTTTAAAAGTGCCTTTCTTACAGCGCGAGATATGTAAAAAAGCAGCTCCTTGACAGCGTTATAAAACCAAACTTTGCCTTTTTGCAAAAAGCAAAATGATCGAAAATTAATATTAATTTTGCGGGACGTGAGAGAATCTTTAAGTGGAAAATTAAATAATCCCGTCTTCAATGTTTAATGAACAATGGAGAACACAACCGCAAGAAAGGCATAATTACCAGATTTGTATCTCTTGACATTAACATAGTCTAGGGTTACAAGCGATGCATTTTATGCTTTTCTTTCCCCTTCCTTCCTTTCCGTTGCCCTCCCTCCCCCCCTCCGGGAGGCAGAAGCGGCGGCAGCAGGCGCG